CGCGACGCGTGAGGCCCGGCCCGGCTGCTTCCGGCGCTGGGCGCGGGGCCGTGCGTCTCGCGCACGTCGTCCCCGTCGCGGCGCGCGCTCCTTCTTCCTCAGCGGCTGGGCGAGCGGCTGACGGGTGTACACGCGCGACTCCGGACGGAGAAGGCTGCTCGGAGCAGGCAGGGGAAGTTCCTGCCGAGCGAGAGCGGGACGGACGTCGCGTGTGAGCTCCGAAGCGGGGCAGTGAGGAAGTTTCGGCCGCTCGCGTCGCCTGGAGACCCGGGGAGAATCAGAAGTCCCTCCGCAGCCGCCCACGGAGCACGCGAGGTGCCGCCCCCGCCCCGCGTGGGTCCAAGCCGGGTGACGCGCAGAGCCGTGCCCGGCGGTGGCCGCTCCAATTTAGGGAAGCGTTACCCCGGATGCCAGTCGAGCGGCTCGGAAACCCGAGTGGATGGAGGCGCTGTGGGCGGAGGGTTCGTCCCCGAGAGGAGTCCACGGATGACTGTCGTTGGGCAGTACGTACAGTCCTCGAGGTGGAGCTGGTGGAGAGAGACGGAGAAGGGCCCTCCAGCGTGTTTGTAAAGATCGTGACTTAATTTCGCTTGCTTTCTGTTGCCAAATTGAAAAGATAAATTCGACATGGCTTTTCCCCGGGAAGAGAGAGAAACGACAGAAAACGATCGGGCTTGTGTCACAGGCCACCAACAAATACTTATGAATGAAAGACTTAAGCAGAGAGCCAATGTAATATGGCTAACTGAAGAATAAAATTAGGCACCAAATACTGACTGGAGAAAGGTGACTTTGGTATCCTAACAACCAGAAGGGCTGTTAAGGATCAGTAGGGAATCGAGCTTGTAACTGAATGTCCGCCGGCACTTACACCCTTAAGGAAACCCTACAGTTCCCTAAGGGTTTTGGTTAGGAAAAGGCTCAGCGCCAGTTGGCTGTCTAACCCCAGGCGGAGAATCGTAGATCTTTTGCTCTCCTCCTAGTTACACTTGAAGTTGGGTAACTTGCCTGAAACCTCACAGAGAAAGAGAACTGAAACTGAAGTGTAAGGTTTTGTTTGGAGGTTTTGTTTTTAATGGTACCCAGAGCCTTCATACTGAGCTCCATCCCCATCCTTTTTTTTTTTTTAATTTCATTTTTTAAACAGGGTCTCAATCTCTGAATTGCCCAGGTTGGAATCCTACTGCCTCAGGCCCCAAAGAAGCTGAAATTAAAGGCATTCAGCCCTACACCAGGCAAGGTTAAGTTTTTGAGGTTGCATTCAGTCCTTTTCCTACCTGACCACAATTTGTCACATATATCATAAGAAAAGAAAAACATGAAAGTCATAGTTGATCTCAACAGAATGAAATAGGATTCAATGAGAGTACTAGCAACCCTTCTGTTATTTCTAAGTCTACTTGAGTCTTTGGTTTAGAAATGCCCCTAGTTGTAAAAAGGTACATGGCCAGGTGCTGAGGCATCCACCTGCAATGCAAATTCGAGGCCAGTCTGAGCTCCTAGTGAGTTCAAGGCCAAACTACATTCCAAGATCCTGTCTGAAAGTGAATAAAAGTACATTTAAAAAGCAATAGCCAGGCAGGCTGGCAAGATAGCTCAGTGGTCTAGATACCTCAGTGGTCTAAAGCACCTACTTAGGCACGCTTAGGCAGGTGCAGGGGACTGTGGTTTGATCCTCAGAATGACATACCGCACCAGCCCTGAGCCGGCCAAAATTGGCAGTCTAAGCGCCTGCCTGGCAAGCACAAGAATCTGGGTTCGATCCTTAGTACCACATGCCATATAGGCTCAAGTATCATGGGCACACCGTGTTCCTAGAACCGTGGACGTGATGGCACAGTTCTGTAATCCCAGTGCTGGGGATGCTGAGAGGAGGATCACTAGGAGTCTGAGCTTTGTAGTGAGACCCTGTACCAAATAAAATTTAAAAATAAAAAAGGGGGGGCGGCTAGGGAGATAGCTCAGTAGAATAAGCAATCCCCGGTTCCACCAAAAAAAAAAAAAAAAAAAAAAAAAAAAAAAAAAAACCAGCAATACCCTGTCTCAAAAAGACATGGGCTGGGGAGATAGCATCAGCGGTCTCAATACCCGCCTGGCAAGCAAAAGGTCCCAAATTCCATCCCGGTACCACATGCCATGCAGGCCCTGAAACGGTGTAGTGATGCACACCTGTAATCCCAGCACTAGGGAGGCTAAGACAGGAGGATCACTAAGAACCTGAACTGCTTCGGGAGACCATGTATCAAAACAAATTTAAAAATTAAAGACACCCCATCCCACCCCCACAAAAATAGCCTGGCATCCCAGCACTAGGAGGTTCAGACAGGAAGAGCTTCAAGTTCAAAGCCATCCAGGGTTAAAGAAAGTAGAAACACAAATATCGACCTTGAGAAAAAGGAGTGAAGGCTAGAACCACATAAAGCTAAAATTACGGCATCTTTCATACAGAGTAATTAAGCAGATGGGTTTGGATTCAGCAACCTGTTATCTCTGAAAACTTATTCTTGGGTTTTAGTTAAGGGGGTAATAAGATATGAATATCTGCCTCAAAGGGCTGGGTGCATTAAATGAGATAACAAATTGCTGCAACAGTTCTTAACGCATAATAAGTCAAGTAGCTGTTAACCATAATTATGAATCATTATTCTGTGATTTTATTAATAATAATAATAGGACTAAGGAGCAGCTAGAAAGTTAGGATGAGGACCAGGGGGAATATGCCAAAATCAGAGGCAGACAGAAATTGAGGGAAAACAATACTTTGCAGAAAGACGCACAGCTCCCTAGCAAAGTTGGTCAACAAATGACTGTGGGCACCTTGATCCTGCTCCTCTGTGGAGACCCAAGGACCTGCCGTAAATCTCAGGTTTCCTTACCTCATGCAAGCTCCGTTTGTTATTTGTGTGTAGAGCTCCACCTGCCCATGAACCCTACTTTCTCATGTCTGCTACCACTAACAGTTCAGCTTCCTCCTACTACCAATATACAAATGACTGTGCCTGCTGATCTCAGGAAAACATACTTTGAGAATTTGACTTTAAACCTTTGTCATGCGTTAAGTAATGGTGATTTAGGGGCCAGGCAATAGCTCAGCGGCATAAGTGCCTGCCTGGCAAGTGCAAGGTCCTGAGTTCTATTCCTGGTACTACTAATACTAATAGTAGCACTGGGAATGTAGCTCAGGAGTCTAAGTGCCTGCCTGGCAAGCACGGGGACCCAAGTTTGATCCCTGGTACCACACACAAAAATGTATGCTAGTATTATTCTCCTAATGTAGGGACAGGTTAAGTATACAACGTGTCTTATGGAGTATTCTTGCCAAACATGTTTAGCCGTGTGTGGTTAAGCCATTAGACATGTACTTTATAGGCAATTCAAGAGAGAAGGCAACAAGGAAATAGGACAAATCCAAAATGTGAAACATTCCACAAAGACAACTGGGTTAGTTTCTTTTTAAAGTTTCTCTCTCTCTCTCTCTCTCTCTCTCTCTCTCTCTCTCTCTCTCTCTCTCTTTCCTCATGGGAAAGAGAAAGAGGGGTTAGATTAAAACTAGGAAATCTAGGCTCAGTAGAATAAGTGCTTGCCTGGCAAGTGCAGGGTCCTGAGTTCAATCCCTGGTACCGGAAAAAAAAAAAACACAAAAACTAGGAAATCTGAACAAGTTACAGACTTTAGTTAATGATGATGTATCATATTGGTTTACTGATTGTGATGTGTAATGTGCATATCTGCCTATGAGAACTCTCCCATCTTCTTGATTTATCAATAAATATAGAACTAATTTTTTTAACTTTCAAAAATATTTTATAATTGCTTTAAACATTTTAATTTTACATTTCAGGGACCTAGAGCCTAAAGCTATCCCATTGTCATGAACGTTTAAATTCACTGAACCTGAATATTTATAGACTAAACACTGTTGGAAGCCAGGTAGGATGGCACAGAGCTATAAGCCCAGAGGCAGAGAGATGGCAAGTTTGAGGCCAACTTGGGCAATTTAGCAAAAGTCTGATTCACAATTTAAAAAGGCTAGAGATGTACTCCATGGCAGAGTGCTTGCCTAACATGTTCAAGGCCCCAAATTCAATCCCCAGCAACATAAAACAACAGAACAACTTTTGCATATATAATCTGCATACATAACCACTCATGCATGTATAATTTACAAGTCTCCATTTCACACAATTACAGTCACAAAAAATAGGGCATGGTGGTACATTCCTATAATCCTAGCACTCGGGAGGCTGAGGCAGGAGGATCATTGCAAGTTTGAGATAAGCTTTGGCTACAACATGAGCTCAAAGCCAGCCTGAACTGCATAGTGAGACTCCGTTAAAAAAAAAAAGGAAAACACTAGTTCACGGGCAGCCTGGGCTTCATAGTGAGCTCACAACCAGGCTAAATACATACCAAGACCTTGTCTCAAAAAGAGAGAAAATAAGTTACGCCACACACTAGTAGTAATGGTTTCCCATTTGGAATTCTGTGATACCTTATAGGATAAACACCATGCTAGTAATGACAAAGTCAGAAAATGATGCATGTATAAATGTTATTAGCCAAGGGGGTTAGATAAATTTACAAACAAAACATTCATCTTTTCATTATTTACTACAAGCATTAGTGCAAAGTATAGAGCTGAAAGGATCCATTGTCTATCAACAAGCTCCCCCCTGTAAAGGAGAATGACAACTAGGTAGGAAACTTCAACATGACATGCTGAGTATCGGCCCTTGCTGTTCTGCTGTTTCCACTGCCACGAACTGCTGCTCTCTACCACGTGCCACTCTGCCTTGGAGCCAGCTGATTACGGACTGAAACCTCCACAAACGGTGTATACTGTTGATTGGAGCCAAACCAGAGGCGAACAGTTGTGGTGTCTGGCTCATGGGATCAGACTGTCCAAGTGTGGGATCCAGCTGTTGGAAAGTCTTTGTGCACTTTTTTTTTTTTTTTTTTTTTTTGTGTGTGTGTGTTTTAGGGAAGGATCTACAGGGTGTTCAGGGTCTCACTACTAGATCAGACTCCTAGTGATCTGCCTGTTTACAGCCTCCCAAGAGCCAGGATTACGAGTGTGCACCACCACGCCCAGGCTCAGTTGCTGGCTCAGTGCGCCCCCGGGTGCGGGGCCGGCACGGCAGGCCCTTGGATCCAACCGCTGGCCCCTGCACCAGCTTGAAGGCGCTTTAGTCCTCTAAGCTATTTGGCCGGCCCTTCTGTGCACCTTTAGAGCCATGAGAGTGCCATTTATAGCACAAGCTGGTCTCCTGATATCCTGCCTGTTTTGTTTCAGCCTCAGGTGAACAGAGTCTTAGAATTTGGGACCAGAAGACAGTAGGACTCAGAACTGTGATTCCAGCACAGCAGGCAGAAATTTTGAGTTGTGACCGGTGGAAATACAATAAGATCCTGGAGCTTTTTAAAGCCTGGCCCTCTTCTCCAAACAGTGGAGCATCATTACTTGTGGCTTAGATTTCTTTTGTTTTTATTTATTTTTTATGTACTTAGTAAAGGGTGTACAGTGTCTCACTATGCAGATCAGACTCGTAGTGATCCTCCTGTTTTTAGCCTCCCAAGCACTGGGATTACAAGTGTGCACCACCACACCCAGTCTCAAGTGGCTTAGATTTTGGTCTTCAGAGCCCCAGTCAGGTGGCTGACTGTTCTTGGGATGAAACAGTAAAGACATCTGGCCCCACTTGTCTTACTGTTATTTGTGCTTAAGACATACTACCCTGGCCAGAACAAGGATGTTGGCTGAAGAATTGCTTACCAGCAAATAAATTAACTATTGAAAACATAGGCATTAAGCTTTTATATGCTATTCAGATTTCAAATTCTTCAGATTTATCCTGGAATCAGTTTTGAGGCAGCTAATAATAAAGCATTATTATTATAATAATGGGTCATTGTGCAAGCCTGGTATATAACCTATATATCTTAAAATCCTAAGACATAACTGATAGTTTGGTTATCTTGTACTAGTGATTAAAATGTAATCTCTAGCTCCGTGAGATTTTGCCCTATAAAGATAACTTGGAAGAGACAGCTTCGTAGACAACCCGCTTCGGCCCCTCTTCTATCATTTCTAAGGCGGAAGCTTTCTTTCGCAATTTATATTTTACTCTCAACCTCCATTTGTTCCTAAAATTAATTCTTTGATTTTAGAGAACAGAAACTCATCTCAGTACCTTTCAGGATGAGAGTTTACTTTCCCTCTATATCATTGGAGGTCATCCACCAAGATCATCCGACAGAGGTATATGTACTATTTATTGCCGGAGCAAGCCTGCAGCCTCACTTCTTCTTGGACACACCCACGGTGCGGCCGCGGCGTCTGGTGGTCTTGGTGTGCTGGCCTCGGACTCGCAGACCCCAGAAGTGGCGCAGGCCCCTGTGGGCTTGGATCTTCTTCAGCCGCTTCAGGTCTTCTCGCAGCTTGTTGTCCAGACTGTTGGCTAGAACCTGGCTGTACTTGCCATCCTTCACATCCTTCTGCCTGTTCAGAAATCAGTCTGGGATCTTGTACTGGCGAGGATTCTGCATAATCGTGATCACGCGCCCCACCTCATCCTCGGTGAGCTCTTCAGCCCTCTTGGTGAGGTCGATGTCTGCCTTCCTCAACACTACGTGGGCGTACCTTCGCCCCACACCCTTAATGGCAGTGATGGCAAAGGCTATTTTCCGCTGCCCATCGATGTTGGTGTTGAGTACTCGCAAAATGTGCTGGAACTTCTCAGGGATCACTAGAGACATGGCGGCAGCGGCGACGGCAGCGTGTAGGCCTCCTGTGGAAGAGCAAGTCTAGTAGTTTTTTAGTGGATTTTTTTTGGTCTTCCAAATAAAGTATCATGTCATCTGCAAAAAATAAATAAATAAATAAAAATAAAATAAAATGTAATCTCTATTTTAAAATGGATTACAATATGAGAGATGGGTTGGGGAGATAGCTCAATAGAACAAGCACTTGCCTGGCAAGCACAAGGTCCTGAGTTCAATCCCTGGTACCACAAAAAAAAAAAAAAAAGACAACATGAGAGATGAAGGGGCCAGGGAGATAGCTCAGTAGAATAAGTGCTTGTCTGGCAAGCGCAAGGACCTGAGTTCAATCCCCAGTTCCGCCAAA